TGAAGCACAGACAAAGCACAAGGAGTCATATTCAATATCTCGTAATAAACTATAGTAGAAAAGCATCTGAAAAGGAGCATATATGTATTTATATGTATGACTGAATCACTTCACTGTACACCTGAAAGATTGTAAGCTATGTTTCAGCTAAAAAACTTTTTAAAAAAGACATAATCGACATACAACATCATATTAGTTTCAGGTACACAACATAATGATTTAATACATGTATATATTTCAAAACGATTACCACAATAAGTCGAGGTAACCTCCATCAGCACGTACATGTATAATTTTTTTTCTAGGAATGGGAACTTTTAAGGTTTACTCTCTTACCAACATCACTTCCAGGTATATAGCTCAATAGACTTCAGAGTAAAATGCTGAAGAGATATATACACACCAATATCCATCACAACATTATTCACAACAACCAAGTGAAGCAACCCAAACATCCATCAAAAGATGAATGGATAAAGAAATTGCAGTGTAGTGACTTCCCTGGTGGCCCAGTACTCTGCGCTCCCAGTGTAGGGGGTCCAGGGGAGATCTCTGTGCAGGGACATATTGTTGTCATTCAGTCACTAAGTCATGTCCAACTCTTTGCAACCTCATGGACTACAGCAAGCCAGGCTTCCCTGTCCTTCACAGTTTCCCAGAGTTTGCTCAAATTCACGTCCATTGAGTCGGTGATGCTATGATCCCACATACCACAACTAAGCCCATGAGTAGCAACTAGGGAAACCCACACACCTCAACGAAGAACCTACATGCAGCAATGAAGACCCAACACAGTCAAAATAAATAATTTTTAAAAAGATACTGTGATATATGCATACACACACACACACATATTCATAAACTATAACACTGAAAGTGAAGCTAAAGTGTTAGTCGCTCAGCTCAGTTGTGCTGACTCTTTGTGACCCCATGGACTGTAGCCCGCCAGGCTCCTCTGTTCATGGGATTTCCCAGGAAAGAATACTGGAGTGGGTTGTCATTTCCTTCTCCACGGGATCTTCTGAACCCAGGGATTGAACCGAGGTCTTTCACATTGCAGGCAGACTCTTTACTGTCTGAGGCATCAGGGAAGCCCCAAACTGTAATATTATTCACTCTTAAGAAACGACGGAAATCCTGTCACATGCTAGAAAATGGATAAAACTCAGGGACACTGTCCTAAATAAAATACATCAGTCACAGAAGGACAAATAACGTATGATTCCACTCACATTAAGTATATAAAGTAATCAAACTCATAGAAACAGAAAGCAGAAAGGTGGTTACCAAGGGCTGAGGGGAGTGAAGAGGAGTAATCAGCATCTAGTGGGTAGAGTTTCAGGGCTGCACAATGAAAAAGTTCTAGAGATCTATTGCTTAACAATGTGAACATACTTAACACTACTAAACTATACACTTTAAGGTGGTTAACATGGTGAATTTTTTTTTTTAACATGGTAAACTTAGTGATATGGTTTTTTACCACAATTTTTAAAACTAGAGCCAAATACTATTCAGACTTGCAAAATGCAAAAGATTTCACCACCAAAAGATTTGATTTTTTAAGATAACACTTTGGATAGAACAATACCAGATGGAAATGCATCTATTAAAAAAAAAAAAACACTAGAGATGGAAAATATGTGGATAAGTATAAATTTTCTTAGTTTTAAAGTTATTTCACAGACAAATCACTACTGACATCAAAAAATGGTTATGTGGTATGTAGTTTATAACACGTATGGAAGCAAATGTATGACAACAATAACACAAAGACTGAGAAGAAATGAAAGTATACCATGGTAATATTCTCACTTGTAAAGTGGTAAAATATCACTTCAAGATCAGTTTGGTTCAGTCACTCAGTCATGTCCGACTCTTAGCAACCACACGGACTACAGCACAACAGGCCTCCCCGTCCATCACCAACTCCTGGAGTTTACTCAAACTCACGTCCATCGAGAGTCAGTGATGCCATCCAACCATCTCATCCTCTGTTGTCCCTTCTCCTCCTGCCTTCAATCTTTCCCAGCATCAGGGTCTTTTCCAAGAAGTAAGTTCTTCACATCAGGTGGCCAGCATATTGGGAGTTTCAGCTTCAGCACTGGTCCTTCCAATGAATATTCAGGACTGATTTCCTTTAGGATGGACTGGTTGGATCTCCTTGCAGTCCAAGGGCATCGAGAGTCAGTGATGCCATCCAACCATCTCATCCTCTGTCGTCCCTTCTCCTCCTGCCTTCAATCTTTCCCAGCATCAGGGTCTTTTCCAAGAAGTAAGTTCTTCACATCAGGTGGCCAGCGTATTGGGAGTTTCAGCTTCAGCATTGGTCCTTCCAATGAATATTCAGGACTGATTTCCTTTAGGATGGACTGGTTGGATCTCCTTGCAGTCCAAGGAACTCTCAANCTGTATCCTTATTTGGAATTAGCATCTCTGCAGATTTAAGTTAAAATGAGGTATATTGAATTAGGGTGAATGCTTAACCAATGGTGTCCTTATACGATAAAAGAAATTTGGGTACACAGACACACACAGAGGGAAAGGCCATAGTAAGTCACAAGGACACAAGGAGAACCACCATATGAAAATAAAAGCAGAGACTGCAGGAATACTTATACAGGTGAAGAGATACTCAGCATTGCTAGAGACCAACAAAGCTAGGAAGGAAGCATAGAACAGACTGTCCTTCAGCACTTCCAGAAGGAACTAACCTGGCCAATACACGGATTTCAGACTTCTAGCCTCCAAAATAGTGAGTGAATAAATTTGTTATTTTAAGCCACAAAGCTTGTGGTACTTTCCTGGTAGCCTGTGTAAACTAACAGAGAGGTAGACAGTATATGCTAAAGCAACTGTTACCATTTGCTAAAAGAATTATACCTAATAGGCCAATGAAGAAATAAAATAGAATTTAAAAATATTCAGTTCAAAAAATAAAGGCAGAAGAAAGGGAAGGGGAATATAGAACATGTGAAACAGAAAACAAATATTAACAGCAAGATGATAGATTTAAAACCCTAGAATATAAAAATCACTTTAAATATGAATGGCTTAGACACCTTCATTAAAAGTCAGAAATTGTCAATTTCGATTTTTAAAAAACAATATCCAATTATATACTACCTATAAGAAGCCTACATTAAGCAGAAAAAACACCAAGAGAAGATTAAAAGTAAAACAATGGGAAAAGCTATGTCATGTTAACACGAATCAAAAGGAAGTTATTGGCGGGACCTACCTGGGAGTCCAGTGCTTAGAGTCCATGCTTCCAGCACAGGGGGGACAGGGTTCAACCCCTGGTCGTGGAGCTAAGAGCCTGCGCGCCGTGTGGTGTGAACAGAAAACAAGAAAGCAAAGTTATTGCAGTGGCTATGCTAATATTAAATAAAGTGCAAAGCAAGCCATATTACCAATTATTAAGAAGGTTATTTCATAATGATATACAGAGAAAAATGTTTATTCATGTAATAATGAAGTTTCAAAATACATGAAGCGAGACCTGATAGAAATGAAAGGAGAAACAGAACGATTCCCATAATAGAGATTTCAATAACCTTCTCTCAATAATTGATAGAACAAGTTGGTTGAAATTCAGAAAGAATAAAGAATTCTTCGCTACCAATCAACTTATGGTATTGATGTTTTTGAAAATTTGGCACAGCAGCAGCATATACATTCTTTTTAATCACATATGAAACATTTACACAGATGGACCAGAATCTGGGCTATAAATACCAATAAATTTAAAAGGATCAAGTCATACAAAGTATATTCTCTGACCACAGTGGAATAGAATTCGAAATCAATAACAGAAAGGTATTTGAAAAATTAACTATTAGGAAAGTAACACACTTCCAAAAAACTCACAGGTCAAAGAAAATAGCAGAGAGAATTTAGAAAGTATTTGGAACTAAACTAAAAGAGTGAACAGTGTTTCAAAATCTGTTGTTGTTGCTGTTCAGTCGCTAAGCTGTCTCCAACTCTTTTGGGACCCCATGGACTGTAACCTACCAGGTTCCCCTGTCCACGGGATTTCCCAGGCAAGAATATTGGAGTTCTCATTTCCTTCTCCAAGGGATCTTCCCAATCGTAGGATCAAACCTGTGCCTCCTGCATTAGCAGGCAGATTCTTTACCACTGAGCCACCAGGGAATGCAAGCAGTACTTGGAGGGAAATTCATAGCATTAAACTCACATATGGAGTAGAAAAAGATTTCACACGAATGATCTCAGCTTCCTCCTCAAGAAATTACAGAAAGAGGACCAACTTAAATCTCAGGTAGGAATAAGAAAGGAGAAAACATAGAACAGAGCAGAGTACGATCAAAGTGAAAACAGAAAAAAGCAAAACAAACAAATGGATTAAATATGAAACTAGTTGAAAAGATTAAAAAAATTACAAACCACTAGCCCGACTGATCAGACATAAAAAAGAGAAGACACCATGACCAATAATAAGAAAGAAATGTGGCCTCACTACAGATTTTAGAGAAAAATAAAAGAAAAACTATGAACAATTTAAGACAATAAATCTGATGAATTTGACATTTCATCCTGTCTTGAAAGAACAGTTTTTAAATAAAATCTCAACGTACAAAATTGCTTTTATTACTCTAGAATGGCTGGCTTCAGATATTGTACAGCACGCACACTTACTAACTTCAAATTAGCTTCAAACCATTGAAAATGACATTGGATAAGAGTATAGAGTGTTGGGGGAAACGCGTTCGCACGCGCGCGCGTGTACACACACACACACAATCTGGTTTTCCCAAACTTTCTCATTTACCTCGGAAACTTTCCAGCTGGGATGCACACCCACTTCCACTCCCAAATATGAAGGCCTGTTTTTATTTTCTGGTTCACTGACAAGCGACAGTTTGACAGTAGATAAAGCCCTCTCAGCGAAGGGGCTGGGGAGAGGTCTGCTCACGTCTCCTATGAAGTCCCCCGCCCCCCCCCCGCCTTATCTTATATACCACTTTCTCCTTAGATAAAGCTCAATTATTTTCCCAACAACTTCGGCAAGAGCTTTAACAGGATCCTCACAGCATTACAGAATAACCAATGAGACTGTTTTCCCTCCTGCTTTTTAACAGAGGAAAGTGCCCCCCTCCTGCTTGGTAAGTGAGGAAAGAGGATGCGAGGAGACAGCAAACAGAGGTCTTCAGAGGTTTGGTCCAAGACTTTCGTCAATGGTCCTGACTGATGGAGCCACAAGTCTCCTTTGCTCTCTAGTTTTTCTTTAGTCTCATTCACCTAATCCTCCTTTCATAAGCAATACAGAGAAAACAAGCTCCTGCTGCTCTTCAGGCGCTCAGATTATGGTGGCAGGATCAACCAAACCGCACCAGGAACTCAAGATCCAAGGAAGAACGGAAAATCGATGGAGCAAAGAAATCTCAGGTACTTTTAGACTTCGTTTTAACCGACGACCTATCTCGTATGCCGAGGGCTGTGCAATCCCTCGTATCAGTACACGACGTGTAAACTATTGGCCACGAAATTTTAAGTAACGTACCCAAGATAAGAGTTTCAACTAATGGGACGGGTTTCAGGTCACTCAGTTTTCAGACTGAAATCTCACCATTTCCGCAGTCCGTATCCTGAGAGGCGGAGACAGGCTGTAAGAGGAACCCTCTGCGTCACCCAAACCTCCGACCTCGGAGGCGCAGCGCCGCCCACTTGCGGGAAGGCCGGGCGCAGCCTCGGCCCGGAAACCCAATCCTCCGCCGGCTCCGACCAGGCGCCCGCCTCGGGTCGGTCACGTGGCGCCCAAAATGGCCGCGCCCGGGCGCCTCGAGCGGAGCGTGGCGTGAGCCCTTGCGGGGCCGGAGGAGACCCGCCGAGGCTGCGGCTGCACGGAGGCGCGCGTAAGGTACCGGCACTCGGGAAGAGGGGCGCCGGCGGGGACAGAGAGATGCGCAGCGGCCTGACGCGCTGTTCTGCCGCAGCGTGGTAATGAGATCCCAGCACTGAGTCACAACGAGAGGAGGGGAGTCGGTTCCATCGGCCCGACCGTCCCTATACTTTCCTCCCTACAAGAAAAGATCTTATATTTAAATTAAGCCTCTGACGGCGGGGGCGGGGAAGAGGTTGGAAACCTGCGCTTGAACTTAATCCCAGGTTTACTGCCAATTTACCGGGTGACCTTGGCCTAATTTAATTTTCATCGGCCCCACTTTCTTCATTGTCTCGGGAGCTATCTTAAATAACTAATGCAAAAGGCTTTCGAAATATTTGTAATATTTAAACGTGGCATTCATTGCCTTAGCTGTGGATATATTATTAATAACCAGGATAATACAGTGACCTACTGCGGACCAAATTAAGGGTGACTTTTAATACCCACACTTCAGAAAATGGCCAGCTCACAGCAGGAATCTCAGCAGTATGCAGAGCATTGAACAGAAAACTAGTGATAGCATTAGGCGGGACTTTTGGGGGAAACATTTCAGACATATACACTGTACACCTTGTATATACTGAATTTGCTTGTTTTTATATCTCTTTCCACCACCCCGCCAACATAAAATTATTCAGCGTTCCTGTAGGTCAGAGATCCTATCATGTTATTGTAACCAAGGCCCTCAAAAAGTTTGAGTCCAGGAAACCTAGACATAAATGTCCAAGCCTGCACTGTACTTAGGATAACTTGAACTTTGTTTAGTTGCTACATTGTGTAGCCTGCCAGGCTCCTCTGTTCATGGGAGTCTCAGGCAAGAATATCGGAGTGGGTTGCCACTTCCTCCTCCGGGGGCTCCTCTCCACCTAGGGATCAAAGCCACCTTCCCCGCCTCAGCAGGTGGGCTCTTTACCACTGAGCCGTCCGCGAAGCACCAACTAGAACGGTAAGAAATTCCGTGCACTCAGCATTTCGCCAGGCACCCAGTGGCTACCCAGTGAAACTTGTTAGTGTTGTCAATTAATTTTCTAGCAAATGAACAGTGAACCAAGAAAATTACTTAATAATGTAGAACATTCTTTGTGAACTTTTGCTTTTCTTAACTCTGCTGCCCTGAAATATGAGCTAAATCTAATGAATTAAATCTTCAAGCTGCTGCTGCTAAGCCGCTTCAGTCGTGTCTGACTCTGTGCAGCCCCATAGACAGCAGCCCATCAGGCTCCTCTGTCTCTGGGATTCTCCAGGCAAGATTACTGGAGTTGCCATTTCCTTCTCCAGTGCATGAAAGTGAATTCAGAATTCACCCATTCCCTTACTCTCTTACTCCAGCTAGTGCCTAAGTCAACAGACTACCTGCCTGTGGACCAGAGGAAGGTTATCGTTTGTTTCTTTGCAGCCAACCAGAATGAGTTTTATATTTTTTAAGTTTTACTGTTTTGTTTTTCTAAGTATGCAACAAAGACCATTATGTGACCCACAAAGCCTAAAGTATATACCATCTGGCCCTTTAGAGAAGTTTGCTGACCTCTGCTCTAGGGCAGAGGTGAAATCGCGAGTGTCTTCTACCTATTAAATTCTTTTCCAAAGTGGTTGTCATGAAAGTGAAAGTTGCTCAGTCGCGTCCGCCTCTTTGCAACCCCATGGACTGTAGCCTGCCAGGCCCCTCTGTCCATGGAATTCTCCAGGCCAGTATACTGGAGTAAGTTAGTCTTTCCCTTCTCCACAGGAGCTTCCCAACTCAGCTACCCAACTCAGGTCTCTCGCATTACAGGCGGGTTTTTCACCAGCTGACCGGAAGCCCGGTCGTACCCAAATTGGATACAGTTTGTTTCCGCCAGCATGAGTTTCCATTACCCCACATTCTTACCAGTAATTGAAATTTAATTTCTATTTCCCTGATTATGGTGGTTAAGCATATTTTCATATTTATTGGCTGTTTGGCTTTCCTCTTTTGTTACAATTCCACATTCAGGAGGATTCCCTCGTGGTTCAGTGGTAAAGAATCCGCCTGGGAGGCAGGAACCATGGGAGACACAGGTTTAACCCCTTGGCCAGGAAGATCCCTGGGAGGAGGAAATAGCAACCCACTCCAGTATTCTTGCCTGGAGAATCCCTTAGAAGAGCCTGGCGGGCTACAGGCCATAGGGTTGCAAAGAGAAGTGCCTATTAACACCATTTGTCAGTTTTTCTATTGAGTTGGTTGCCTTTTTCTTATCGATTTCTAGTACTTTACATATTCTGAGTACCAACAATGACTCCTTTGTATTGCAAACATTTTCCTTACCACTGGCTAATCTTTATGGTATCTATGAATGAGTTCATTTTAACTGGTTAATACTAGTTTAACTTTATGTATTTTATGGTGCTTTTTGCAAATTTACAATATTTTTAAGGGTCACAAAAATGTTCTGTGTTTTCTGAAAGCTTCATGTGTTGTCCATGTTCTGGTTTCTGTTTCACATAGAATTGTGGGGGTTTGGAGGCAGAGGTGTTTATGCTAATCAGTTATATAATCAAATTGATGATTATGAAATGAAGCTATGGCTAATTTTTTTAAGCTAAATATTTATGGTCTTCAGACGGCTTTTATAAGCCCTTTTGCTGTTTTTCTATAGATACACATTATTGAAAAATGATATTTTAATTTAAGGCTCAAGATGAAAAATCATGAACCAGATGGTACTATCATCAAGGAGAACTTAATTGATATCATAGCCCGAAAAATTAACCAACTCCCAGAAGCAGAAAGGTAAGATCCCTTCTTATACTTAAAAAAATTTTATCAGGTGGATTTTCATCATTGATTCATCTCAATTTAGTTTGACTCTAAACAACATACATTATCAGAAAGAAATTGAGATTTTTCTTGCATTGATGAGAAAGACAAGGTCCAGAGAGATTAGCTATTTTACTTGAAGTCAAGGCTAAAATTCGTTTCTTTGTACATTTCTATTAAATGTCTCAGTTTTTCCATTTGGCTTAGAGTAGAAACAAATGTATGTATTTATGGACTAATTTAAATAACAAAATTTTAGATTTTAAAACTGTCTTCTCAATTCATTACCACTCTTACCACACTCAATTCATGACTACACTTAACAGTCTGAGAGTGCCATGTAATACACATAGCTAGACAAGAAATTTCAGAGAAATGGAATCATGGCTAAAAGATCATTAAGGTATTATTAATTTATATAGGAAACATGCTGATCTTTGAAGACAACACTGAATGAACTGCAGTCCCTACAAAATGTTCTTAGATCTCCTTCGGAGGCAGCCACTCTAACACTCCATGTAAACTGAAAATCAGAGAAGGAATGGCGTATGCATATGCACAGGCAACAGGACAGCAGAGTGTCTGTCATATTTGAGGAACCAGTGTTACTGAAGTATAAGAGAAGTGGGCATAAGGTTAGAGACACAGAGTTTTGAGCAGGGAATGACCCAGCTAACATTTCCAAAGAACATTCCAGTTGTTTTCTGGAAAACAGATTTCAGGTAGGAGAGAAAAAGACGACCACCGGTAGGAAAACTGGCATAGTAATCCCAGTGAGTGGTGGTGGCAGTTTGAAGTGAAAAGAAGGATGGATTTGAAATACATTTTGGAAGTGTAATTTTACTATCTTGCACAAATTCCAATCTTACTGACACCAGCTAAACAAGGGAGAACCTATAAACCCAAAGGCAGTAATAAGAACTTGGTGAGATTTTTTTAAGCTGTTTATCCAATTCTCCTCCCCCCAACCACACACACATACACAGTGTTACTGTTTTTCAGAGGTAATCAGAAAACCTTTTTAAGCAAATAAAAGATATGTACCCATGTTTCCAGGCCAGTGAGGAAGGGAAAGCCACAAAGACTAACACAAAGAAGGATAGATGTGACAGCCTTGAAGAGAAGAAAGTAGGATGTGCTACTGGGACTTGCACAAAATTAGAAGCAGCAATGGGGAAGTGAGCTAGAACTGCAAAGCAAGCTTTAGTTTGCACGTAAACTGTTTTCAGTCCCTGGCACCTAAGCAGGGCAGACGGCAGCACCTCCATATATTTCCTTTGTTCCCTATTTTTCCTGTTTCTATTTTATGTATCCTAGTTCTGTTTCAGGGCTTCCCTGGTGGCTCAGAGGGTAAAGCGTCTGCCTGCAATGTGGGAGACCTGGGTTTGATCCCTGGATTGGGAAGATCCCCTGGAGAAGGAAATGGCAACCCACTCCAGTATTATTGCCTGGAGAATCCCATGGACAGAGGAGCCTGGTGGGTGTTGTTTAGTTGTAAGTCATATCCAACTCTTTCCAACCCCATAGACTGTAGCCCCCCAGGCTCCTCTGTCCATGGGATTTCCCAGGCATGAGTTTGTTATTTGAAAAGTTTTTAAGTATATTAAGCTTGAATATCAAACACTTCACTTTCTAATCTACAAAATAATTTATGTAACAAATTTCATTGCCACTTGTTATTTCTGATCTTATATTTCATTTGTTCATGATTCTAGTTACTTTTTATCTTTCCAAAAAACTCCTGAGTTCACATTTCTAAGTTGTATAGGCACTTTTTGGGAACAGTGACCAGCTATGAAGCTGCTAGATAACAGTTTTCTATTGAATTATTAATTAAACAATGTGACTTTAAGCCACAGGAAATTAAAATCTGGTTGGGAGACAGCAAACTTTGCTATTCAGATTCCAGTTACACTCCCTGATATATTTAGGGACTTATTTATGTAATTTTTAATATTTAACATTAATATGGAGAAGGCAATGGCAACCCACTCCAGTACGCTTGCCTGACGTACGGAGGAGCCATAGACGGAGGAGCCTGGTGGGCTGCGGTCCATGGGGTCGCGAAGAGTCAGACACACTGAGTGACTTAGCAGCAGCAGCAACATTACTATATCAATGTATTATAATGTATATAATAATTATGTATATAGACAAGTTATTTACCTTAGTATTTGTTCCCATGACTAAAAATGAAGATGATATGTATTTCACAGTGTTATTATGAAAATAACAGTATTTTAGAGGAAATGCTTAAGTTTCCCACTCCCTTAGCTCCCACAAAAATACACAGGTCTTTTCATATTTATGTTTTGTTATTGTTCGGTAGTTCTCCAGGTCCTCATCACAAATACCATCTTACATACCCTAAGTTTCGAAACTGCCTCCTTTGTACTGCCATTACTGTTTTAGTACACTTCTGTTAGATGTCAAGTCTATGTATCTTTCAGTCTCCAGTAATAAACTGTGAAAACATTGGAGGTAGGTAATTTTTGTACCTTCACAGCCAAGTGTGCTGTATGCAGTAAGGTGCTCAGTGACTAAGTGCCAAGTATCACTATGATTACAAAACGACCAGTAAGAGAGGTAATCTTATACAATGTAGAAAGCTCAATTAGGAATTCCTAGAAAAGCTGTTTTAAGATTGAGTGTTAACCATAGTAGTTAGAGAGGGTATCGTATGGTTAGTCTGGCTAATTAATAGTAGTAAGAAAACTGAGAGACTGAAATGCCTGTTACAGGTGGCAAGGCAGGTGGTAAAAAAGTTAAACGGTAGGCTGAAGAGTCTGAATTGGAGTATTTGAATATTCAGCAGTTTTAGGGTTTTTCCCCTGAAACTAAAGAATGGATAGAATGTGCACTTTAAAACTTATACATCCCATGCTTAAAAACCAGCTTTACCATTTACTATCTCAAAACATCATTTTTATTTCAATGAGTTCTTGTGAAGTGCCTAGCATAGAGGATCCCTTAAATGTTAGTACTGTTCCACCCCCCCCAACCCTGACTCCAATGCTTCACGGAAGATTAACAGGAAACATCAGTTCCACCTTACTGAATGCCTTCTATGTGTATGTAAAACAATGATCCTAGGTTTGTTTTACAGAGCTGTAAGATACAATAAATATGATCCTAAAATCCTGATTAAGTTCTGTAACAAATGCCAGAATTGTTCTTGGAGAGCTTACATACACAATAGAGCAAAAATTTTGTTTTTTATCACCCATTCAGGAATCTGCTTGAAAATGGATCAGCATATGTTGGACTTAATGCTGCTCTCTGTGGCCTAATAGCAAATAGTCTTTTTCGACGCATCTTACATGTGACACAGGCTCGCATAGCTGCTGGCTTACCAATGGCAGTGATCCCATTTTTGACAGCAAATGTATCTTATAAAGGTTTTGTAAGTTTACCTTTGAATACAGGTAAGTTCTATTTCACTATCACCAGTAACTTCACTTTGGTATACAGTTTGAACCTTATGTTAATCCTTAAAGTAGCTATATGATTTAAGGTAGTCACGGTGTACATCTGTCAGACTCGGATGGATAAGACTGAACCTTGTTAGCCTCTGTAAAGCAGCAATTAATTCATATTAGCATGGTCTACCAAACAAGTAAAATAGATACACAGTAATGCTAAGTACTTTCCTTTATCTAACTTCTCTTTCCCACAGTGCTTAGTAAGAAATACTTGGAAACTTTTTAAAAAATGTTGACTGCCTTAACATTATAGTTTCTTAAAGGGAAAAAACATTTTGTGGGAACAAGACTATGTAGTAAATCAAAAAGCACCGTGTGTGTGTATATAGTAGTTATCAAATACATGGAGACTTGATTTCCTTTGGACAGTTCACAATATTTGATGAGTACTCCAAGTACAGCTAAATCATGAAAGGATTTATGATTTAAAACAAAAAATTATCACAGGTGGTAGTAAGGAAGGAGGCAGTCCATTTAAATTCTCATAAGTGCTACTTCAAATTTGCTTAAATTGGATGAGTATTTTGTTTGAATCCCCAAGATCATTGTGGAAAGAGTTTTGATATGCAGGGAAACAATGAAGTGAACAAAATGAGTGAAAACATAAGTTAACTTTCTAGTACCATGTACTAATTTGAAAATGAGTAATTTTATAAAAATAAAACCAGACTATATAATATAAAAATGTAAGATGAATTAAATTGTTAAAACAGATTTCCCATGGGTTTAAAAAAGTTTCCTAAAGACAAAAATACTATCCCAGGTTTGCTAATACAAGTGCAGAAAACTAGAGGCAGTGCAAACTATTATATTCAAATAGAAAACAAATTAGGGAATTTTCCCTAAAATGGTTTTATCAGTTACTCGTTTTAATCATCCATATGTATACCTTTTAACATGCTTTGTAGAAATGCATTTGCTGTATTATTGCTTTAAAATTGCCTATCTGTGGACCTTGAGTTCTTTGTTTGCTTGAATATCCATTTGCAGAACTAATTTGTTTCCTAGGTGATCTGCATTGTGAAACCTGCACAATAACACGAGGTGGATTGGTTGGTCTTGTTTTNGCATTGTGAAACCTGCACAATAACACGAGGTGGATTGGTTGGTCTTGTTTTCGGTGGCCTGTACCCTGTTTTTTTGGCTATCCCTGTGAATGGTGGCCTAGCAGCTAGGTAGGATTATTTTCCATAATTATTGAGAAACTTAAGTACACTCTTTTTTTCGGGAATATTACCTGTTTGATTTGAAAGCATTAATGAGACTTGTTTTATCCAAGTAATCAAAGAATACTTTACAAGAATTTGAAAACACTTCTGGAAATTTATCACACTAACCTCTTGGGTGTGAGGTTCAGGTTCGAAATATAAAGCTGCAAGCAAGTACTACTGTGACTAGTGTGAAAGCTACGTTATATGCATAATGTTCTTAAGAGTTTATGTACTACTTATAAAAGAAAATTCCATCAGAAAATGTGTAGCTATAAGCCAAAATAACTCAGTTATTCTCTGATGAACTCTTGTACCAAACAATCTATGAGTTTCCAGAGGTGAAATGGGGGGGGGGGGGGGGAGGACAAAAGAAAACAAAAGGCCAGTTTTTAGGACTAATAGACATTGAAGAGAATGCTATTAACTTAATCTTTACCCTAAGCTAGTTTTAAGACTTCTGGAATTAATATATGCTGTACACAAATTTATCACTTAATACAACTATCTTTTCTAGTGAACTGTCTCAATGTTTTCTTACAGGTATAATTCAGCCCTGCTACCAGAGAAAGGAAACATCTTAAATTACTGGATTAGGATTTCTAAGCCTGTCTTTAGAAAGATGTTATTTCCCATTTTGCTCCAGACTGGGTTTGCTGCATACCTTGGGTCTAGACAATATAAACTACTTATAAAGGCTCTTCAGTTACCAGAACCTGGCCTAGAAATTGAGTGATTGTTAAGCAAATCTGTACACAAAAATAAAACTATAAAAATAACCTATATCTAATTATGAATAAACAGAGACTCGTACATAAGGTACAATTCTGGGATCTATAGTATTCAACACTGTCCACTTAGTTAAGAACCTAACTTCCTCGTTTTCCCAGTACTTTCTCCCACATTCACTTGCTCTACTCCTTTATATTAAGCACTTTGGTTTGTAACACAAGAAAAAAACCGTACAACTGTTTTCATTAAAAACCTCATAAAAGAATCCAAACAGGAATGAAAATGGGGATGGGGGTGGAGCGGTATCAACACACTACAGGAATGTTATTTTCTTAATTCACTGTTTTCCATGGGTATTATTCATAGACTCTTAGAACATATTTAAAAACATGCCTGGGACTTCTCCAGCGGTCTACTGGTTAAGATGCCAAACTTCAAACCCTGGTCAGCTAAAGACAACAAAAACTCATTCCTCTCAGTGATCAATTCCAATATTCTTGCCAGGAGATTATTCAGGTTTAGCTCAAGCTGTCCTAATGATAGGCTTCCCTGGTAGTTCAGTGTTAAAGCACCTGACATCAAGCCCTGAAGGAGTAGCCATGTTCTTCCTATTATTTCTGGTTTTGTTTTTTGAAGTATCAGTCTATTCCTGACTTCCTTAGATAGATTATTTAAATTTTTGAAATGACATGTTGTCTTCCCTTCCTAAAACTTTTCATCTCAGTTCTTGAAACTATTTTATTTGACAGCATCTAAATCGGCATTGAGCTTTCCCGGTGGCTCAGCAGTAAAGAACCCGCCTGCCAAGCAGGAGATGTGAGTGTGATCCCTGGGCCAGGAAGAGCCCCCAGAGGAGGGAATGACGAGCCCCTGAACTGCTGCCGGGAAACCCCATGGACAGAGTGGCATGGCGGGCTGTAGCCCATGGGACTGCAAAAGAGTCAGACATGACTTAGCAACTAACGACGACAGGTCACCACTGGCCAACAAACTGTGATGAGGAAATATTTTTATACTGATATGTATATGACTGATAACATTTTAGCACTAGCCATATGTGGCTACTGAGCACCCAAAATGTGACTAGTGCACCTGAATAACTTAATTTTTTATTTAGCCATACCTAGCTAATATCCTTGGCATTGGACAATGAAGATCTAGATCAACACTTGCTTATGAAACAAGTCAGTCATACCAAATACTGTGTCACCCTAGAGTATTATTCACAAGCATCTTAACTATTCCTTTTCAAATACAGTGATACATGTTAGTCTTATGCTATTTAAAATATTATAAAAACACTTAGCCTGTCACCTAAAAAAAGCAGCTTTGAGTGGGATAGACTTTCAGCGTCCCATAAAGAAAAGAAAGCAGTACAGCCAAAGATTTAAAATTCAATTTATAAAATACAAGGGAATTCCCTGGCAGCCCAGTAGTTAGGGGAGCTTCCCTGGTGGCTCAGCAGTAAAGATTCCACCTGCAATGCAAGAGCTGCGGGTTCAATCCCCGGATCAGGAAGATCCCCTGACGGAGGACACAGAAATACTGGACACACTCCAGTATTCCTGCCTGGAGAATCCCATGGACAGAGGAGCCTGGGGGCTCTAGTCCACGGGGCCACAGAGTTGAACATGACTAAAGTGACTTGGCATGCACAAACACCAGTGCTTTGACTGCTGAAGGTGCAGGTTTATTAATCCAGGGACCAGCAAGCCACGTGGCAGGGCTAAATAAAAACCAAGTCAAAAACCTAATAAAAATAGATTATGTTAAAAAAAATTCCCCATCAAACTACATTTGATAAGAAACGATCCCAATTATGAGGCAAAAGAATATATTTTACTATGGATATTCTCTGGGTTACAGAATTACGGCTGACTTTTCATCTTGATTCCTTTCTAGATATTCCCAGTTTTCTGTAATGAATATGCTTTACTTTTACAACTAGGAAAAAAATATATATGTAAGGCTAAAAACAAGACAACCCTTTATAAGTTAAAATATCTAGATAAAGCTCTGACCCAAAGTTATATATTTTATATGCATTCTCACTTTTATTGAAAGCATGGTTCTACTCATCACAATAGAAAACCCCAATAAAATTCCTGACTTCAAAAATAAGAAACCCAAATTACTGAATCAGACTTCTTAAAAACAGAGCATGGTGTAATGAACTTAGATAGTTCAAAACCCACTGATACAACTATTGATAATTTAGTACAAATTGTTTCCTTAAACATTCCTGCAGTACTTACTCCCTAGCATACCACCATTTGTAAACACAACAATTTACAATGGTTTCTGCAACCAAAAATGATTTTCTTTCTTAAACCTATCCTCTAACCATATTTTTCTTAAATCATCTTCTCAATTAGTGGAGTAACAGACAACACAGGCCAAAGAACCTGTTATTTTAAACCTGTTGCTACAAATTAACTTTACCAAAATTTTTGGTCAGGGGCAAATTAGCAAGAACGTTCTATGATCTGCATTACAACTTAAAGTCATTTTTAGCTGAGACCTATAGAACACTGCCTCAGAGAGGAAAATGGTTTATTTCATCAGTTCTGTCACAATAAAAAAAAAAAGAAAGAAAAACCTATTTAAACCTTTCTTTGTTCTGTGTAGTTATTTGGCTTTAAAAAAGAAGGCTCATGTTATACTATACTTAAGGTATTAATTTGTAATCCCCAGACTGGTAAATTAGATGCCAAAAGGGTCCAGGAACTATAAAGGAGAGATACAGAACGTAATGGCACATTCTAAAGGATGCTCAGCCACCAATAAAATTCAAATCTCTATATATTAACAGCTACACAAATGTTCCAAACATCAAGTGGCTAGATTTTTAAATCAGATTAACTGAAAATTGAGCAAAAGATTTTCAACAAATTTGAGTCAACAAAACTACAAAAAACTGGGAATTCTCAGGCAGTTCTGTGGTTAGGACTCCATGCTTTCACTGCTGAGGTCCTGAGGCTGGATCCCTGGTTGAGGATCTATGATTCCACAAGGCTGCAGCACAGCAAAAAAAAGAAACTATAAAAAAATTATTAGAAAAATTTTAATAAAGCACTGCAATCTGCTTTCTTTTTAAAAAGTGGGGAAAATGGATAAGAAATCTTGAATGTACAAACTGGAGAAAGGTTAAAAAACAGAAATAAAAACACTATCATCAATAACCAAAGCAATGAAAAGGGCAACTTTCTATTAACCTTTTTAAAAAATACATAGTTTTCCTTACATGATTTGCTGCTAATGATAAAGTAATTTACTTCTGGAATAAAATTTAAAGAATCTCCAGTTTCATTTTTCTGCACTTTAAAACTGAATGTAAATAACCGCTTGCTGTCTAGGTTAGAGCTCTGAGCTCAGTCTGTTATTATAAGACAACAGGGAGTAACTGGCAGATTATTGAGGTATTCAAGTTCAAATAGGTACAAAATACTGTGCTAGCTAAGCAAACACTTTACAAGTATCTAATAGAGGACATCCCCTTTTTGATTCCTGGCTTTGACAGTAACCACCTGGTTTCTCAATAAAAAACAGCACAGTAAAATATAAAAACCGTTTGGGAAGGTCTCAAAACCTTTGTGTTGATAGCCAGGGGGGAAAACCAAACACCTGAAAATATTTTACAACCTATTCAACTTTAGTCATCAGATTACTTAGCTTAAGGCTGACTAGTAAAAACTTAAAAGTTTACCTCCCAAATGCGGAACTAGATAATTACGTATTTTGAAACATTCACTCATTATCAGTGAATTATCCACTCTATCAAAGCAGCACTAATGGTCACCAAGTAGTGTTGACGCCTACCTGATTGTGGTTACAACGCAACCAGCTGTACTGTTCAATATGTAGGAGCATCCATCAATCACCTAAGTTTAACTGAGAAGGCTCTTTGCTGCCTGACATCAGACACTGAATAAACCTGAAACTGAGTGAATTTAATCAGTCTTGTGTATCACCATACAATAATCAAACTGAATAATTAATGATGATGAATCATTTTAGAGAGAGAAATAAGAGCCTATCTCCTACTCCCTCCCACTTCTACCATCTGCACACCTCTGAAATTAGTAAGATAAAATGACCCAGTCTAGACCAGGTGAAAGAATGTATTAACATAATCCAACAAAAATGAAATAAAACCACAAGAGTTTTGAGTGTTTTCTCACACTTGTAATGAACTGGAAAAATGTTTCAAATAAGTAAAACCATATTCTGTTTAAAAAAAAAACACTCCCATCATCCAGAACGCTAAAAAGCCTTTCATACTAGAGAAATTTTAATATAAAACAGTAGAAACTAGTATACCATTCATTAGAAACCTCAAAATAATTTTAATATATCCTCAGAGGAAGCTCAAGAAGCCAAAACCTCAGATCCACACATCTTGGCATTATCCTGAATTGCAATTAACTACCCATACATTTAATCATATTCAGTTTTTCAAAGATACACAGACAAATCAATGCATCTATTTAAAAAGACTACTCTTTATAGGTTAAAGACTTTACATAAACTTTTATATTCTACTCAGCAAGGTCTGTCTGTACTTCAGATTAGCTCTCATGTTCCAGGAAATAAATACAAACTCATGATACGGCCTTGTGATCACTGATGGCCTGTTTATGTAATCCTACTGCACTAAATGTAATTCCATAAAATGTGCTCTTGATTATGAAAAGAATCTAATATTCCTTGATGTAATACTATCAATCTCTTCTCCAATGGTTACAATTTTTAAAAGGTATGCAAAGAACTGAGTATCACTCCCATGAAAGACAAAAAATGTGTAATTTTGTTCCAAAATTAACTTAGTCTCATGAATTCCTATTAAGTCTTTCAAGGATTCCAGACAATCTTTTCATATCTCCATTTCTGGAAAGTGAAATCTGGAAAGTGAAATCAGTATAGAAGTAATTTGGGAACTTGAAAATGGCATTCATTTTTTTCAGCAGATGCCAAATTTTTGACCGACATGGCTCCCACAATTACTTTGTTACCATCAGTCCAGTCAGTTAACAGGTTGTAGGAAAAGATTCGTTTTTGCAGACACTGCTAAGCTGTTTAAAGAGAAGAGAGAGAGATTAATTTAGTGATTATAAAATGAACAAATATTTAAAATATTTTGAACACTTTTTGTTGGATTATATCAGAGGTGTGACTACATTTTAACAAACGTGGACTCTTTCGTTAGGTTTGGTCAAGGAAGTGCAGAAACATTAAGTCAATATGACAGAAACAGCAGGTCAATATGATGTGTTAGTTCAATTAATGTATGAATTCCTGTCACAATCAGAAGACAACTATTAAAAGGTACATCTTCAGTTCTTTCTGTATCATTTTGCCATAGAGGCACAATTAGGAAAAGAAAAAAAGACTCCCCAAATACTAAACTGCTTTCATCCACTACAGTAAATAGAGCCAAACCTGAAAACTTCTAAACAATCCATATTATATTCCAAAAATCTGCTTTATCCAGCTACTAATCATTCAGAACACAATTTTCTAAAAATAGTAAGACAACAGTTTCATATTAATCATAACTTTTTAATTAACAAGTAGTGAATAGGACACTTTAAGATATTGTTTACTACATACTGAAATAAACAGATCTGTTGTAAATTCAGAAACCCAAACATTTACAGTAAAATGTGTTTACACATAAATATGACCAAATTTATTTAAAGTCCCTGTTAGATAGGTCTTAAATACATGCAATACCATGTAAAAACAAGACTATGACGTTGATGCAAAAAAATGACAAAATCACTATAAGTCACCAAAATTAGAAAAAAAAGAGAATGAAATGGAAACTAAGAAGGACAGTTTAAAAACATAAGGAACCTAACAAAGCAGCTTTTAAAACAGTTGATACTAATCTCCATTTTCAAAAGTTCTTAATCAAGTATTTCCAAAAACTGCCATTTATAAAATGACATTCTAAAAATCTATACTTGGAATTTCAAAGCATCCCAATTCAGAAAGCTTTGACTGTTTCTCCCCAGCCCCCAAACTTCAAATAATGCAGGAAAATCATTGACGTTAGGAAGAAAATATTCCAAAGGAATGGTATACTTTTTAGAAAAACGCACTTACTGCTTTCAGAACCTAAGACCCACAGCATTAACAACAATCATTTTTCCTATTTTCATCCATTGTTTTCCAATGTCATATTGAGAGATGAATAAATTCTTTGAGCCCATAACTGAAAGATCAACAAACCTGATTTTATTATGACACCATATTTTTGTCATTGGTACTGCACAAAATTATATACAAAGATATATATATATACAAAATGTTCAAGTATTAATTAAATTTCAATTCAAGGCTTCTGTTTCAAAAAGCTACATTTAACATATTCCATAAAGATAGCACAAATTAGTCATTTCAAATAATTTTTCCAACTACTTTTGGTTTATATATATTATATATTATTCAGTAGGCACTAAAAATCCATGCAGCTGCATTGTGAGGGGCTTGCTCCTGCACTTAGGTATAAGCAGGTTCATCACTCCAGGTTGTGAGTTTGGCTACTATCCATATTCATGCTCAAGTGCAGTAGATGATTTTACAAAATATGCTGTAATGCACTGGAAACCAGAGACCAAGTTAGGTCTCAGAGTGTATTATCTAGCAACAAAACATTTACAGTTGTGCAAGAACAAGATTCCATTTTCATAACCAAATAACAACAAAATAAAACATTTTATGTGTAAGATAACTTACATCTTTGGACTGCTGGAAAATACTTTTTAATTATGAACATTTTAAAATAAAAGCAGAAGCCCTGAAATTACCTCTTTTTCCTCATTTCTTATACTACCTTTTAAAATAAAGCAGGAAATGTGGCCAGCAGCTGGTCCCGTCTCTTCTGCCCCAACAGCTGTATCCACTTTAGCACAAAGAAAAACAAGGATGCTAAATACGTATATACTTTATCAAACAGTGATGTTTCACAAAGAATTTCTTCATGTCCCTTACATTGAAGGACATCATGACTCAATCTATATACAATTGGACAACACTGTCGTCCCAACTATGGAAGTCTATGTCCCAACTTTGGAAGTGTCAATCGTGTCATTAACTGGCCAGAATCACTCAATTTTAAAACTCATTTTTAAATAGGACAAATACCTTTGAAATATGTAGAGTAAGATTCTTTGTGAAGCCTCACTTTACACGTTTTCATTCACATTTCATAACCTTCAATATCTAATCATACATAAATTTAACCTAAAAATTTAATACAACAAAAATAAAGGTGTTCAACAATTTATTCATATTCAGTGATAGGGTAATCACTGTGCTGGTCCTCAAAGAAACATTTCATTAACCATTCTTATTCCTCCTTCAAGTAACTAACATAGGAGTCTGGTATGCATGTTAATTTCCAACTTCTCTAATGTTGAGATATAAAAATCTATTAATCTGAATAGACTGTATGTCTAGATCTATTAAAACTTAAAGGCATTCTTATATTTAAGAGATTTCTGTAATCTCCAGCAAAGTAACTATCACATTTGTGCATGCCCCAAGTACTTATTGTCAACCTCTGAAAAGTTGCTCTAAAATTGGAATTCCAATTTGCACCTTGTACAACTCGGAAGTTCCATTCAACTTCACCTGTGTCACTGTCTCCAAACTGTATCTCTATTAGCAGCTTTCAGTGTACAGTTGGAACCGATGTCATCCAAGGCCATGTCCACACTGGGGACAGAAGAGCTAGGTACACGCAAGTCTGAACAAGGGGACACATTAACAGCTATTTCAACCAGAAGAAGCATCTTGAGTACATTATTGACCAGCACAAGTCTGTTTCCAGGGTGGACAGGGCCCAAATTAGATTCCCCTCCCAACTTCCGAAAAAGAAAACAAACAAACAAACAAAAAAAAATCACACACACGCACAAATTGAGATGTTGCCCATTAAAGTAGACTAAGCAGCAGAGCATGAGCGTTACGTGAAGAGATGGGTCCTTACCAGGTGGTGAGGCGGGAACGACTGTTCTGTAACCCCTACAACGGAGCCTGGCAGGAAGGAAATCACCTAAAAAAGAAACTGTCAGAGAGATTTAATAGTCACATGTTATCATTAGGAGTTGGTTACAGTGTCACATTCATGCTTTTAGCTAAACACTTAAAGATTCAATATTACTTTTTTTTTTCCTCCTCTGAAATGTGTCCAGTGACGATGTCCCACTAAGGTGTTTTACATGATGTAAGGGAGTTGAAAGGGGATAAACGCGGATAAAGAGCGGATTACTTGACCCTACATTTTAAGAGAAGACGACGCCTTCCGGGCGCACGCCGAGCAGAACTCCACCGACACCTTATCCTTGTCCACATGCAGACACACTCCTCCGGCCGAGTCGTCCTGGTCTTCCAGCGGGTCCGGCTGCTGCTTCCCCACGGGCAGAGCGTAGTCGTGGTCCCCGGCGGGCGAGTCCCTGAAGAGCGAGGTGGTCAGCCGCAGTCCCACGCCGCTCAGCCGGCTCAGCAGGCGAGCCAGTCCGGTCTCGTTGGCTAAGACGGCCCGAAGGTAGCGACTCTCCTCCTGCAGAGCCTGCACGCGCTTGCCCAGCTCCCGGTTCTCGGCCCGCAGCTCCTGGTTCTCGGCGGCCAGCCCCCGCACTCGGCTCTCCAGCCCCATCACGTATTCCTTCTTCTTCAGCCGGTTGAGGCGGGCAGCCGCCGCCGCCGCCTTCCGGGGACTCTTTGTCGCCGCCTGGTTGCTGTCGTTGCCGCCGCCGCTGCCGCCGACGCCGCCGCCGCCTCCTGGGGACTTTCTCCTCCTCTTTTCGCCGCCGCCACTGTCACTGCCGCTGCTGCAAGCTCCGATGCCGTTTAACAGCCTCTGCAGCAGGTCCGAAAAGCGCTGCATCTCGGCAGCCGCGGCCTCGTCGTCGTCGTCGCCTCTCCACAAGCCACCGCTGTCCGATCCTCCGCCGGACGAGGAGAGGGGCCCCGGCGAGCTGAGCCCGGGCTCCAGGTGCCAGTCCGGCTGCCGGGGGTCCAGTAGGTCCGCCAGTTCCAGGCCGGACAGAAAGTCCATGTCCTCCGTCTCCTCCCCGGGGACGCTGGCCATCGCCTCCTCCTCCATCTCCTCAGGCGAGGGCGCGCGCGCGGCCACGCCGCCGCGGCCCCCCCTCCCGGCCTCCGACTCGCCCTCGTCGCCGCGCGGCTGTCTGCGGCCGGGCGATCCGGCCGCCGCCGTCCCCTCGTCCTCCGCCGCCCCGGTCAGGTCCGAGGGCAGCGAGCAGGTCGCGACGGGCGCCGGGCTCTCACTACGCGTCGGGGAGTCGCTGCCCGAGGCCGCCAGCAGTTTAGTCAGGCTATGCCTCATGGGGCCCGGCGGCGGGCCCACGTAGGCCCCGGGCCCTCAGACCGGGCCTCGCGGGTCCCAGGGACCCAGAGCGGGTAGCCGGGGAGCAGGCCAGAACGAAAGAAAGGGGAAGGTCCGCGTCGCTTCCCGCCCCCGCTTGGCTGATCGACCCCCCGCGCTGGGGCGGGGGGCAGGGAAGGGAGATGGAAGCAGCGAGGCCCAACGATGACTCGACCGCGCCACCCAGACAACGGCCTGGCCGGAAGTCAGTCGATCTCGCCCCAGCCCCTCCCACCGCATTTTGCGCTCCACTGGGCTCTAGTATCGCGAGAGTTCGGTAGACCAGGCGTAATTCCAGATCTCTAGTGATGTCATAGTAACAGCTGCGAAAATAACAACAAACCAGGGATTTATTGAGACGGTGGTCTACCCTCTCGGCCCTCGCTTCTCTATCGTCTGTATTCTAGCTTCCACCTGCAGTGAAGCAACTCTCGCTCAGAACTGATCGATACCACATTTATGAATAATCAAAGTTATCCTGGAATTTAAGACTGCTAATCAAACCATTTTTAAAATTGCCCCGCCCCCTTACGCTATAGTACAAGATGGTTTCACTCAGATAGTACTAGAAGAAAAAAATAAGTCATTCATATGTAATTTTTCCAGATTTTGTTTAAAAAATTTACAAATATACAGAATATGTGAAAGAGTATTCTAATTCAACACTACCCAATACCCAGACTCAACAATTAAGTTTGTCATATACACTTTATATAAATGTTTGTAAAACATTTTTTTTTTTTGCTGAATTATCCCAAAGTTTGAGACAAAACACACCACCTCAACATGCTTCCGTATGCATCTTTAAAACTAACATTCTCTTCCATAATCATAATACTATTATCAGGTCTGGAGAAAATTAACAATCTTGTCAATATTATCTATTACTCATATCATATTCAAAATTTGTTCAGCTTTCTTCAAAAATAATCTTTTATAGCAGATATGTTCTTTTGAGCCAGGATCCAATCACAAACCACTTCTTGCATTTGTTATGTTCCCCCGCCCCTCATTTGTCAAACTGGAACACCCCCTTTCACATTTCACATTGGCTTTTTTTTAAAAACAAGGTCAGTTGTCTTGAAAAAATGCATCACAATCTGGATTTGTCTGTTTCCTCGAGGTGTTGTTTATATTGTTCCTTAAAACCCACAAGGATTTCAGGTTTGAGGCAGTTCACAAATACACTAGGAAACAGTGAAATAACTCAAATTTTTATAAAACAAAGTCAGTGAAAATACAGATGAAAAAGATAAGGAGTTCTAAAAGGAGGAAAGGTTTGTTTCAGAATCGGATGGACATAAAATCTTACAGTTACTCAAGTTGAGCTAACAGTAGACTAAGCTTCCTGGTAACCCAAACAAACTTTCCTTTATTTGCTTATGAGTAGAGTATACATGAATTCCTTAACTGCTTTTCCTGTTCTCATTTCTTAAAGAAACTTTTCAATGAGATACTGAATAAAGTAGCAGATAACCTCACCAAACCTTCCTTTATTTGGCTGTTTCTTAGAAGAATTGAAAGCAAGTTCCAGGAAATTTGGATACTGATAGGTCCCAAACAGTACCTGGCACAGGGTAGGCTTTGATAAATATTTGTTGAATGAATGAAGAAGGTCTCCAACTTTTAACTGAAGGCATTGCACTAAAACTCAACTAAATGAAAACGATTCTGCAAGGGACACAAATAAGCATGACCTATGGTATCGACTGAGCGACTGAACTGAACTGATGGTATCTAGACATGAGTTTGAGCAAGCTCTGGGAGTTGGTGATGGACGGGGAAGCCTGGCGTGCTGCAGTCCCTGGGGTCACAAAGAGGCAGACACGACTGAGCAACTGAACTGACTGACTGATGAATCTAGAAGAAGAAATGAGTGGCCTCCAGTTAACTCCTTAACCTTCCCATTAGGAAACAAAAGAAAGTGTAAGTGAAGTCGCTCAGTCCTGTCTGACTCTCTGCGACCCCTTGAACTGTAGCCTATCAGGCTCCTCTGTCCATGGGATTCTCCAAGCAAGAATACTGGAGTAGGTTGCATTTCCTTCTCCAAGGGATCTTCCCGAGCCAGGGATCAAACGCGGGGCTCCCTCATTGCAGGCAGACACTTCACCCTCTGAGCCACCAGGGGAGCCACCAGGAAAGCCCCATTAGGGAAGGTTTTGCAAAAGTAAAAGTAAAACAGCAAACAGTTCGAGATAACAAGTTTTCTGGCATACTTTGACTTAACAGGTGTTTTGTGTTGTTGGTCATCCAATCGAACTGTATTTTCTCCTAAGGCAAAATCAAGATCATGGATTGATTTATCATTTTTCCCTAAATTACAAGATTTTGGTTTAAATATACATGGTTTAAGAGCCTCTCCATTGAATTAAGAGAAAAGTAAAAAACTGAGAGAAGGGAATTTTTACAGTGTAGCCTCAGAAGACAAAAAAGCAGCTGAAGCAGAAACGACTTTCCCTCCCTTTGATCATTCCTCTCTTCTCATTCTCTCCTTCACAGTTGGTTTTTTAATTTTATTTTCTGGTTATAATAATCATTGTAAAAGATTCAGATAGTGCAGAAATATACAAATAAGTAGAATATTACCCATAATCTAACTACCCCAAAATGACTTATTAAAATTTTGACATGTAATATAAAGAGTTTTTCTATGTATGGATATATTATATAAATTGTTTTATTTCTCTTAACTCTAATGTTTTTATGTGAATATTTTGTTGACATATTTTATACTACCAAATATATATTTGCATGCCTATTTTTGTTGACTGTCTAGAATTCCATTTCAGGAACTTTCCAACTTTCAATCAGCCTCACTGATAGCACTTAGGTTGTGGTTGTATTGGATTTTTCACTGTTACATACCACACTAAAATGTTGCACAAATATCTTTGTTCACTTATCCTATGATTTCCTTAGGACAAATTATTGGAAGTAGAATATCTGTCTACAATTTTTATACATAGACTTATTATTACCTATGGGAATATTACCTCTTATTACCTATGGTATCTATCACCAATGGTGTTTGACAGTATTTAATTCCTATGCACTCATCAAAGTGGATTTGTTCTTTTTAAAATGTGCCAATCTAAAAATAAAAAGGGGCATCTTTTTGTGTGAATGTGCACTTCTTTAATTATTAGCTTGAATGTTTTTCACATTACCAACTGATTTCTAATGTTTACAGTCTTTTTACCATCTTAGTCCAGTTTTCTTGAAGTGAGAGATGTTTGTCAAGAAAGATATTTGTCTTTTTCCTTCTTAATTTATATGAACCCCTTGCATTATAAGAAAAACATTCTTTTGCCTCATATATGTTTCAGTTTTTCCTCTAATTGATCATTTATTGGGGGGGGGGGTTAAAACTACTTGTTTTACTATAATTTCTAAATAGTCTATCAAACTTTTCTTCATGATTTCTGGCTTTGATGTTTAGCTGAAAAAGCCTTTATTAAACTAAATAATATTGATATTTACTTATGTATTTTAGAACTCCTTTAATTTCTTCTATTTATAAACTACTGTTTTTTTAACTATGAGTGATTATTTTATTTATTAACAGATCCAACTGGAATTTATTCTAGTATAAAATGTGACATAAGAATATAATTTTTCAAAAAGTTATCTGCTACAATACAGTTTATTGAAGAATCCATACTTGTACTCACTGATGTCCCAACATTTGTGCCATATATTAAATTCTTTTATATAGTTGGATCTATTTCTGGTGTTTCTCTTCTATTTAATTGATTAGTGTATCCATTTTGGAAGCAAAATCAGTATATTTTTGTTGCAGTTTTATATTTCAATATGTCATAGGACAAGACATTTTTTTAGTCTTTCTCAGAATTTTAAATCTGTATTTGAATATTTATTCCTCCAGATAACTTTATAAAATTTTCCAAGTTTAAAAAAAAAGCTGTAATTTTCATGGAAATTGCATTAACTTTATTAATTTATTTTCCTCAGTTACTTTATGCATTTTGGGGGGCTACTGGACTAGATTATTTCTTTTTCTATGCTTTTTAAATGGTTATTGTTGCTCCATAGGAAAGCTACTGATGTTTTTGTTGAATTTTTAACTGACTCATTCATTGAATTTTCTTTTTTTCCAGTTTCCATCAATGTAGTTCTGTTATAAGGACCTACAAGGCAAGGATCATTTTAATAATTGTAATATGATAGTAATAACAATAGCTGCTAGTTAGGAGCCCTTATCAATTATTGGGCATATTTAGGACTTTACACATATTATTTCCTTAAATATGATAATAGATTTGGGAGGCCTCACCAAATGTACCAGGGAATCACTGTGGTCTCTCAAGTTGTACTGTTTAGTTTCTCCCTAGAAATGATACATTTTGAAAAGGCTGTCTCCAAACCATTTTCTACCAGATTCTTTCCAGTTCAGTTTTATTCATCTTTGATGCTTCATGTGGCAGAGTAAATATGTATGATGAAGACTGTGTTTATCTAGATTCAATGGCTGAACTTTCTTAAGTCTTTATTTTCAGTTTATTTATTCAAATTTCCTTGGTAAACAGTTATATCATCTTACTATATATAATGACAATTTTGCTTCCTTCTTTGCAATACTTGTTTTATTATCTTGACTTATAATTAAATAGCACTTCCAGAGTGATGCTAAATAATGCTGTGAATAATCAATTTCCTTGCCTTGTTCCTGAACTTCACAGGAATGCCTCTAGATTCTAGCTACTGATTCGAGATGGGTATTTTTATTAGGGTAAGCTCGGTTGCAGGAAACAGAAACCACTTCAGCTATTTTAAGCAGGAAAAGCTGTAATACAGAGAAGATGTATACAAAATAATTGGAAGGACTAGAAGAGTGGGCATTATGCCAGGTGATCAAGAATGCCTCTCAGTGCAGTGTGGCCTAACAGGCCTGCTAGGGTGCTGTTACCTCTGCCCAGGTTGGGATAGTTGTAGATACAAAACTGGAACGTTGACTTCAGGAGCACTGCTTCCAGGACTCT